CTTCCTTACCTGGTATCAAAGGCAACTTGAAAGTAACACGTAGGTGTATTATACATAAATTAGTTTTGAAAACTAGCATTAATGGCAAACTAGCTAGGAAATGGAGTTAATATTTCTAAGGCTCAATGGAGGGGGTGCTAGGCTAGATGGAGAGGGTGCTAGGCTGGATGTAGTTAGTGCAAGTTTAAATGAAATCATGCTAGGGGATAGATGGAGCTAATAACTCTAAGGCTCAATGGAGGGGGTGCTAGGCAATTTTAAATGAAATCATGCTAGGAGATATTATGGAGTTAATAATTAATGAGCGAGAACACTAACTGAAGTTCTTCAAAATGAAACATACTAGGTATGGGGCTTGTGTGATCATCACACGATTGTTTATAACAAGATTGTTTGGAACCAGCAACCTTGATAACTTGGCCAGTATGACATGACATTTCGGTACTTTATAATACATTATATCTGATATATTGGTAAAGAGTAAAGACTGTGAAAACTTTATGTAAAAATTAGTAACATTACAAAATATGCAAGTAGTCAGGAAATCCCTTACACGATCTAGGAATAAAGATTGTGATTATTCTCTCGCGCTCTAACTCGCCCCCTCCCCTCTCTCTCTCTCTCTCCCATTTAGTTTTTCACGTCTAGTGACATTCCTAAACATAAGCCTTGTATATAACGAAAACTTGATATTATAGAAGAAGGAGCAGATGTGCCAAAATAACCAAACATCATAATTCGACATGATCGGTATCAGAAGCTCCGAGAGAGATGAAATGAGACGGAGCCTAATTTGCGTCAACTACACTATATGAGATTGAAGGTGGCTTGTGTTCCAAGTATGGTACATTGCTATCTATGCACATTACATTGATCTACAGAAACGTATACAATGCTCGAGGTGCATGCCGGGAAGGCGTATGAAAGATGACGTAATGGTATCGAAATATAAGAAAGGAAAACAACTTCAGTTCGGGACGGTTCAAAATAATGCTGGGAAATGGAAATTAAAATGATACCGTTTTAAAAACCAGTTAGATATGGTTTAAGGACAAGAAGCATGAGATAATTCATTGCTCGGCAATCTGGACTGTATTTGAAACAGAGCATCCAATATTCCTGATATTTAATAGTATACTGTCAATGAAAAAATATAACTAAAAAAAATAATAATAATGGACCTCTTTACCCAAGGCTGTGTGTCTTTGTCGAGCACAAAATGATTCTGCTCGGGTATGCAGGCCAGTTGTTAGCCCATATTGGGCTTGAATAGACTTGAATTGAAAGACCCTTTGTTTAACCTCGCGAAGTTTGGGCGCTTTCATATGAGGAGTAAAACCTTGCCCATCATTGAATTCATGTTGTAAAGTTGTTTACAGACTGGAAAAGGATAGCATGGGAGTGTACAGATTGAATAAATGGATGTAAGTAGTACTGAAAATGTAAAAAACTTGTTTAACCTGGCAATAAGGGACTCTTGAATGTAGTTTAAAAATTGGACATGGCTTTGGGGCTAACGCTACCGGCCACCGGCTACGCTGACGACCGCCAGCTAGCTGACGACCGCCAGCTAAAAAAGACCCCCCCCCAAAAAAAAGACCCCCCCCAAAAAAGACCCCCCCAAAAAAAAGACCCCCCCCCAAAAAAAAAGACCCCCCCCCAAAAAAAAGACCCCCCCCCCCAAAAGGGGCTCCATTACAGTTTTTTCTTACACTCAGCTGCTCCCCTTCACCATAGGCCCTTTTTCAAGTTTTTTTTGAGGAATCCATTGACATATTGTGGTTTGGAACCCTTTCCCATACATCAACAACACCAACAATAATTATTTTATCACACCAAACTATGAGTGAGATGAAAATGGGTTCTAACATCAGTTTTTCTTTTTCAAAGATTTATAAAAAAATAAAAAAAGAAGCACTAGCTGGGAGTCGAACCCGATACCTTCCAGTTGCCAGGTGTTTGCCTATCCACTAGACTAATGTGTCACACTGGTAATCTTCATGTATTTGTTCATATTGATACTTATTTTTGTAGATGTAGCAAAAAACGTATTCTAACTAATTCAGAGAGTCGCTTGTTAAAGAAAGAGTATCAAATGTTATTTTCTCCTTTGTTGAGGAGGTGGGGGGGGGGGGGTGTCCCCTTTAAAAAAAAGGAGATGGACACGTCAATATCATGGGGTAAAGAAAAAAAATAAAAAAAATAACATGAGGTATAAAGAAGAAGCTGGGAGTCGAACCCGAGTACATACATACATTGCGTTGTGAAGCGATCAGTCTTATCCGCAAGACCACTTTGCCTCACTGCTACTAAGTGGCTCACTTCTTGGTCTTATAGCACTTTGCATGTTAACGACTTTAATATGTTGATTTACTGATTTAACGATTTCGGGATGCATAATTATTCATATTTTTGCAGTCCGATGTTGTCAAGATTGCCCGTAAATGTTTTCTTTCAGTTACTGATATTTCTGATATAATAGTGAGGTTTTATGTTATTTTCATTTATTTTGCAATCTGCTGACTTAAACTTCAAGTGATATGACAATAGGCCACTGCCCTGACATAGCATAATGAACAGAACACGGATCTATTCAATTTAGGATATGCTACGAATTCTGTAACAGGGCACAAATGAATAGGGAAGCTTGGCTATTCGATTCTGTGTTCAATAGCTTGCACCTGCAGCATCAATTAATGAATTGAAGCAAAAAACCCGACCCTCCCTTCATTGACGGAATATTTTTGTCAATTGCGAGGATTACATAAGAGGTAATAATAGCATTCATGACATTGCAACAATGACCGCATTATGTTGATGTATTGTCCATAAAGGTACTGAGAAAGTCTTTCTCCTTGTCTGCATGGAGGACACGCACTTTAAATATCCCAATAGAAAAAGGATAGAATGGGGCTGTAATCTCATTTAAAAAAAGGAAAGCGATTTCGGGACGGTTCAAAATAATGCTGGGAAATGGAAATTAAAATGATACCGTTTTAAAAACCAGTTAGATATGGTTTAAGGACAAGAAGCATGAGATAATTCATTGCTCGGCAATCTGGACTGTATTTGAAACAGAGCATCCAATATTCCTGATATTTGATAGTATACTGTCAATGAAAAAATATAACTAAAAAAAATAATAATAATGGACCTCTTTACCCAAGGCTGTGTGTCTTTGTCGAGCACAAAATGATTCTGCTCGGGTATGCAGGCCAGTTGTTAGCCCATATTGGGTTTGAATAGACTTGAATTGAAAGACCCTTTGTTTAACCTCGCGAAGTTTGGGCGCTTTCATATGAGGAGTAAAACCTTGCCCATCATTGAATTCATGTTGTAAAGTTGTTTACAGACTGGAAAAGGATAGCATGGGAGTGTACAGATTGAATAAATGGATGTAAGTAGTACTGAAAATGTAAAAAACTTGTTTAACCTGGCAATAAGGGACTCTTGAATGTAGTTTAAAAATTGGACATGGCTTTGGGGCTAACGCTACCGGCCACCGGCTACGCTGACGACCGCCAGCACGCTGACGACCTCCAAGAAAAAAAAAGAAAAAAAAAAGACCCCCCCCCCCCAAAAAAAAAAAAAAAAATTAATAAAAAGACCCCCCAAAGGGGCTCCCTAACAGCTTTTTCCTACACTCAGCTGCTCCCCCTTCACCATAGGCCCTTTTTCAAGTTTTTTGAGGAATCCATTGACATTATTGTGCATTGGAACCCTTTCCATACATCAACAATCAACAACACCAACAATAATTATTTTATCACACCAAAATTGGAAAAATGATTAACTTTTAATATCTGGCTTTTGGGCTTTAAAACAAAATACACTAGCTGGGGATCGAACCCGATACCTTCCACTTACTAGGCGGTTGCTTATCCACGAGACTACTTTGCCTCACTACGATTACCTGGTTCACTTTTAGTATTTAACACTGTGCTTTTAGTTGTTTCAGCTAGCTGACGGCAGGCGCAGCTATACCCCCTAAAGGCAGACGCGGATCCAGGGCGCCGGGAGGGCCTTGCCCCCCCCCCCCGCAAAAAAAAAGAGAGAGAGAGAAGGAAAAGAAGGCAGGGAAAGAGGAGAGAAAGGGAAAGAAAGAAGAGGAAGAGGAAGAAGAAGGAAAAAAAGGGGGGGGGGAAGAAGCAGATCAAGGGCCGAAAGGGTCTTGGATCCCAGCTGTCACCCCCCCCCCCCACACCTAAATTGGAAAAAATGATTAACTTTTAATATCTGGCTTTTTTGCTTTAAAGAAAAATTGTAACTGATCTCCCCTACCTTTCTTCTTCCTCTTCCCCCCCCCCCCATACTTCTCTCACCCTCTCTCATTTAAGTTTGGTGAGGGAGGCAGGGGCCTTTCGCCCCCTCCCCCGATCTACACGATGTTGATGGGATTAATCGCAACTGATCTCTGCTTTTCTTTTTTTCTACCTCTTTTGTGTTCCATTTTAGCTCTCCTCTTTCCCTTTCCTTTCTCTCTTTTTTTTTTTTGGCGAGAAGGGGGGGGGGGGGGGGGTTGGTCTGGGGGGGGGGGGGCAGAGGCAAGGCCTTTTTCCGCGATCTTGGGGGGGGGGGGGGGGTAGTGAGCACCTTTTTTTTGGGGGGCCCTCGAAATTTTAACAATTTGCACCCTCCCCCCCCCCCCCCCCCCCCCCCATCCCCCTACTAGATCCGCCACTGCCTGTAGTTTCATCCCTAGCTAGCTGGTTAAGCTGAATATGGGTTATCTAGTCGTTTCATTCATTAAGTATAATTATACTTGTATCAGGGATATGAGAGTACATCCCTGTTTGTTTTGACTATGTATACGTGTGGACTAGAGTACGGACATTCGGTGCGGCAGGAGGACTATTGGTGCGAGACCTCTTCAGCACAGATTGTCCGTCAGACATTTGAGGCGCGCACGGAATGTCCGACACGGACATTCTGCGCGGATAAAATCCGCACCGATCGTCCGCTCTCGATCGATCTCTAATAGTCGGACGATCGGTGCGGGTTACATTCTACGCGGTCACACCGGCAGATATTGTTCCCGTCACAAAATCTCCGGCAACTCATCACATACATTGTGCATCTCACGCATTATTATGATAATTTCGTCATCGCCAAATAGTGTTGTACCGCGTGGCCAACTATAATACATGCAAAGCAAATGAGATTCTATTTTGTGCGAACACGACATCTCCGGATATGAGTTTGTCTTGAAAATGAAAAATTTCCACAGGCAATCTGAGAGCCTTGTGCCAATTATTGGTATAGGTGTAGCTGCAGCTGTTGCTTTGTTGTATATTCTATGGAGCCCAGGGCCAAGCAGTTCCAAGAGATCCGGAAAAAGAAGTAAATAAATTGATTCTTACCAACTTATTTTTGCGTTGATGGGACTGTATGTCAGAGATGAGTGACGCAATGTACGTAACTTGTCTGAACAAATAATGTTTTTTAGGTCGCAGTTTAACTATTTCAAAAATAAGTCTTTGCCTATTTTTTCCTATGGGAGCTAGAAAGGGTGACAAATAAATATTGTGTAATTTAATGTAGGAACTAGGATTTTGAACCAACGTGGCAACAAAGCGAAAAAGCCGCGGGCGTGCACGTGAAGTTGAATCCCGGACAACTCGCCACAAAGACAACCCGCCCCAAGACAACCCGCCACAGTACCCTGGACATCCCGCCACAATACCCTGGACAACCCGCCACAATACCCTGGACAACTCGCCACAGCCTTTTCGGACAACTCGCCACACTTTTTTCCCCTCATGATTTCTAGATCTAAAATCCCTCATCTTAGATGAAATTGTCATTTTTCATGATTTTCGTGCTTTTATAAACACAGTTATGACAGGAAACATGGAAATTGTGAGTATTTTGAGAGCTGTTCTAAAGAATAAAGATGATTTTCCTTGCGCTTGCAACAAGAATCTATTTTGGACGAACCCAAGCCAGGCGTACTACGACTACGAGTTACGACTACGATTTTTAAGTTCATGTCTCAGGAAACTTTTTAATGGTAGGAATATGCTGCTATGTATCTTTGGCGTATCTTTACATTCTAATATTACCTGCCCCCCCCCCCCCCCCCATCAGTACGCCAGTGCTTCCAGTATCCTACCATAAAAAAATTCTGGGACAGAAAAATGCGGCTGTTATAGACCTCTAGATCAAAAGTATATTATTGTTACAAGGGAAATCAACTTTATTCTTTTTAATGACGAAAAAAAGCACGAAAATCATGAAAAATGACAATTTCATTTCAATATATATTATTGTTACAATTAGGGAAATCAACTTTATTCTTTATTCTTTGTAATGACTGTGTTTATAAAAGCACGAAAATCATGAAAAATGAGAATTTCATTTCATTTTAGATCTAGAAATCATGATGGGAAAAAGTGTGGCGAGTTGTCCAAAAAGGCTGTGGCGAGTTGTCCAGGGTATTGTGGCGGGTTGTCCAGGGTATTGTGGCGGGATGTCCAGGGTACTGTGGCGGGTTGTCTTGGGGCGGGTTGTCTTTGTGGCGAGTTGTCTGGACCCCGTGAAGTTAAATGCTTGCTGAAAATTCTAAACCTTGTTTGTTTCCTTGCCTTCATCAAGTAATTGGTTATGTATGGTTTCAACAATAGCGGCGTTAAGCCTTAGAAAAAAAGCTTTTCCCTATCATCAGATATCCTCCCTATATCTCATCATGTACTAGTACAGTTCAGGTATGATGAATCACTGTGCTAACCACCTGACCACGTAACGTTCTCCTTGTTAAATTTAAATAGTTGCTGTTAAATCTCGGAACCAATTTCTTCTCAAGTTAAGTTATTCTACTCCTGTACCTTTGGGTTTTTTCTTACGAGCATTATGCTTAACTGTGAACGTCTTGACAAATCAAATGCTCAAGCTGTTATGACAGAGCTTGACAAAATGTAAGCAAATGCTTATTTATAAGTAGACCAAATTTTCCGTCTCTTTCGTTCGTTAAGCCTTGTATTTGGGTAGGGTCGGCTCTCTCTTTAGAGACGGAAGCCGACCTTGCTAACACCATGGCCATTTATGGCCATATTTTTATGCCCCGAAAATCCTCCCAAATGTCATTTTACCTCGTGCATATATTGTAAATTAGACCTAGGCTATAATACATCGGTTCCACTTACCAACTTGACTGAAATAATCCGTTTAATGGTCCCATTTTTGGAAATTATGGGTCAAAATCGACATCCATGTTGAAAATCTTTGCAAGCAGTATTTTAACTCGCTGTGCATGACGTCATCTAAATCTCATCCCTTCTAGTCTACGCCGAAGCCAAAATGATTATGAAGGAAAAACTGTGCATGAGCTACACGTTCGTAATGGCGTTATCGCAGTTTTTCTTCATAATCATTTTGCCTTCGGCGTAGACTAGAAGGGATGAGATTTAGATGACGTCATGCGCAGTGAGTTAAAATACGGCTTGCAAAGATGTTCAACATGGATGTCGATTTTGACCCATAATTAATAAGAACAGGCAAAAGGTATGTTTTATATATATTACAATTCTAGTATCCCATCAATTGTTCGTTTACTAAATAAGAATCCCGACCTCCTCATCTAGGTCTAGTTATTTAATCCTGAACCTCTATCTGAATTTGTATCTAGTTTTATGAATATAGTTTTGATAAATATGATTTTAATAAATAGAACTTTGATAAAATGCATTTTTAAGAATTTGATTTTGTGAAAAGAAATGTAATTTTTAGAGACATTATTTAGTTAAATGCAATTTTGATCCGATAAATTATTATAAAAGATATTCTCATTGCCAATCTATGCATTTCAAAAGAACAATGTATATTATTTGACTTTTTAAATTCAACTTTGATAAATGCAAGTTGATCAATGCAATAATTATTAATGTTATTTCAATAAACTTAATTTTAATAAATGTAATTTTATGTTTTCAAGCCGGGTTTTACATCACATATTCATGAAGATCATACATAACAATATTTAATAACTGTATTTTATCGAATTATTTTGTATATATACTTCATGTAAATGTTACAGTTTAATCATTTAATTTCAATTTGTTAATGATCAATAATAATTTTTTTCTTAATACATTATCAAAATGTCCTGCTCCGACTCTCAAACTGTATACCTGATCTTACACCCTTTGAATTTCTATTTATTTCATATCAAAGTATGCAAACCGAACTCAATATTATTATTGTTTTCATTATTTATGATTTAATTACTATGTACTGTTTATATCTGGATTCATTTAAAAGTGTTAAAGCATATAATTATATGTATATGTCTATGGAATTATTTTTACCTTGTAAATTCACTTGTATCAGCCTCCAGCTGTATTGTTGAATATTCGAATAAAACCTTATCAAATCAAATCAAATCAAATCAAACAAATCAAATATTATACGTTTTACTATCGCCTTTATTCCACCTGGCCTTTGACAGCTATCAACGCAGCTTTTAGGTAGCAACAAATTAAAAATTCAAGATAGGTTTGTTAATAAAATGTGAAGTTGGATATCCATTGGATGTAACATTGCTTGCACTGTAAGAGTCAAATGATGCAATATCAAATGAATATTTTCGTTTTATTTTAATGTGTCATTTCCTATTGAATCCTCTTCCCACAGGAAAAGTTGCTGGTCTAGAGAACCTTGGTAACACCTGCTACCTGAACACCGTCCTACAGAGCTTAGCAGCATGTCCTGCGTTTCTTGCCTGGCTCAATAGAGCCCTAAGGAGAGGGTGTTTCAAGGGGAGAGGCAATGAGCTGGCTTACAGACTCTCTCGCACATTGGAAGGTAGGTGTATTGGGGTCGCCACTAGACTATTTTCACTGCAGTGGAGGGGGTAGGTGGGGAGGCGCAAGGGGTGTGTTGGACCAAAACTTTGAGACAACTTAGTCAAGAATTTTCCAACGAGCAAGTAAAATGTACCGTCCTCACATTTCTGAATTTTTTTGACAAGGGTTAAAAGAAAAAAAAAATGAGATGGCTGTTAGTGGTCCAACAACGCCCATTTAAGTGTTTTGTCACTCTGACATATATAAGCTAGACGTTGTACAAGTTGACAGAGTGTGACGCATAAGAGCAATCTTCTTAAAAGGGTAAACAAAAAAAGGGTCTACATGCAGATGTAAATCTGGAATAAACCATGATTGAACATGGTGAATTCAACTTGTTGGAATCACTTTGTTAGATGGAGGAATACCGGGGTATTCAGATTTTGTTATTGAAAACTGTACCATGGGAATCATGTCTTCAGAGCCCATGTGGGGTTCTGGGGCCCGTTTCACGAAGCCTTTTTTCAATGACAAATTACAAAAATCAGTGACAAATCTGCTGATAACCAATCAGAAGCAAGGATTTCAGTAGCTTATTACAAAGACTGTCATTTGTCACTGATGACAAGTTTTGTGAAACGCCCCCCTGGTATGTGTTCTCCAGTAGAGAAGGTGGCTCAGAGTGATTCTGAATTGTTAATCGTGTTGTAGATTGGTTGATTAAAAAATTGAATGAAACTTAATACAAAATATATATTTTATACTTGTAGGTGTAAATGATTACTCCTCTGCAACGATCTACTCACCCCATGAGGTTCTTTATTCTCTCTATAATCGAAACTGGAGATCAGGACAAGAGCAACAGGTGGGTTTCGGAGGACCAAACTAGGTCCAGGCCCTACACATGGGTCTGTAAAATAGGATGTTCTATCGTTAGAGAAGACATGTTTTATGATATTGTATGAAAATGAGAAGTTCGGGAACAAGATGTACTGTAAGGTAGCTTGGCAAAATGTTGTGGCATGTAGAATTGCAACTTTTTTAACAAATAGAATGCATCTGGCTAACGTTTGCTATCCCAAATCTAGGATCTTTCTAACCAAGACAAGTATTCACCATGGTCTGAAACTCTGAATTAAGATTTCCAGTTCCAGGTTCTTGCCTTTCACGATCACTTGTTTGGATGCAGTATTTAGCTAATAAACCAAGGATTTTTAAGCCTTGTAGTTTTGCTCAGCTACCTGAGCAAAGTTTGTTTGATTAATTTGTGCAATATGAAAACAATATCTGTTTTTAGAAGTGCATATATAGTTTTGTTGTCACTGAAGTATGTAGATTTGTCAACAGACTGTTTGCTGTTTGTATCCATTTTTGGAATGATCTGCACTTAAATGTTGGTCAATTTCCCTATTCATAAAAATGCTGTTTGAAAAAAATATGCCTCTAACTAGAGATGAGACATTGATCTTTGTATATAAATTAAAAGTACATAATTGTATACTCTTTCATTCTAAATTCTTGGGATAATTTGCAATGTCTGTAGAAATAACATAGCATGCTATCAAATGTTCTTTTACCAACAGGATGCTCATGAGTTATTTCAGTTTCTGTTGAGTGAGTTAAGTGAAGATAGAGAGCAACCTCCCTCTCCTCTGCCCCTCAGTGAAGCTCCAAAGCTTGTGGTAAGTCCAAGAAAATGCCCATGCTCACGAATGACACAAATATTTTCTGGAATTTTAGGATTTGTGGGGTCAGGAATCTGTAAAAAGCAAAAATGTAGCTGACAGTGCACGTGGGAACGTAAAGTAGCCTATTTAAGATATCAAGAAATAGAAAAATCAGACAAGTGTTTGTGTCCTTGTTATCTTGTCAAAATATCTGTATGCAAAAATATTGACTTGAAGAGTAGTTCATTGAATTGTGGAAAGATAAGTGTCAATATCTTGCTCAGCTATGAATTCCTTTGATCATGTAATATAAAGATCAACGATTTTCTTTTTCTTTTTCAAAACGTGTATTTGTAAAATTTGAATAGTACCTTTATAAAACCATGACAGAGAACACTTTCATCTATAAAGCCATTTGGAGGGTAACATTTTTCCTTCCAGGAAAATACATTTTAAGTACTTCCAATTAGTTTGCCTGATCTAATGGCAGCTGAGGTGATATTAGTTGCACTTAATGTTTTACAGAAGCATGTCTCGAATGGCGGAGTGAATCATTCCAGATTGAGGTCCAGTATCTAACCCTCTTTGAGTGACAATCAGAATTGTTCATTCACCAGTCCGCACTTTTTTTATTTAAACTTTATTTTTTACAGAGGTATGTCTCGAATGGTGGAGTGAATCATTCCAGATTGAGTTCCAGTATCAAAGCTAACCTTCTTTGAGTGACAATCAGAAGTGTAGATTCACCAATCCACTTTTAAAAAATTTAAATGTTATTTTTACAGAAGCATGTCTCGAATGGCAGAGTGAATCACTCGGGGTTGCGGTCTAGTATCAAAGCTAACTTACCACGTGTGACCATCAGAGATGTGGACTCACCTTTCAGAGGTCTCCTAGCTCATCACCTATCATGCACAATATGTGGATACAAGGTAAAAATCACTCACATTGTAAGATCCAACTATGATAATAATAATAGTGATAATATTCCGCTTTGATATAGCGCTTAATACATCTACGATGTCTCTAAGCGCAGATATACTTTTACCCCGGTCATTGGATTCAATACTTGCCCGCACACACTGTGTGCACAATACCCACTCCCTGGGGAGCATTCCAGCCAGGCGTTACTTGATGCTCAAAAACTGCAACTTTAACTGATTTTGGAAGAAATTTCAGTATGATTAAAGGTAAAGACCAGTATTGGAAACGCCCCAATTTCAAAAAATGAAATGGAAGCTCTCATTACCAATCATGTGAAAGAATATGTTTTGACTAATACATGATGATAACAAATTTGCCGGGAAACCGCCTACTAATTCATATATTTGGTAAATTTGTTTCTCTCATGGTCTGTGAGAGATATAGGGTAGTCCCATATACATCTTTCTGTGTATAGTGCTTGTAACTTTACGAAGAATGGGCCAAATTTCTTATCATTTTGATGATTCCAGAACCTTGCAGATGCTAGATGCTAGATGCTAGATGATCAACCTTTTCTGATCGATTCCACAACATTTCTTTTACAATGCAATCGCATGACCATAACTGGTCTTTACCTTTAAGTGCAGAAATTTAAACCAAAAAGCTCTTTGAGATTTAGTTCCGGAATTGTCATATGAAAATAAACTTTTCAGGATGATATGGGCCTTTATTTGGTAAGATAGCCAGATAATTTAAGGCCTCATCTGCTTTAGATTAGGGATAGTCTTGCAATTAGTCTGTATTTGCTCTGATTCTGAGGTGATCGGGCCTTTTCACCTAAGGGACAAAACGCATAAATATGTATGAAACATCATGGGCATGTTCCTTAGGAGCTGCTCAATCTATTGTATACCGGTAGTCACTACTTGGTATATATAGCATTAATATTTAGTTGCATATGTAATTTTTATTTGTGTAGATTCATGTGATGTGCTTTAGAGTAAAAGAAATAGATCCAAAACTTAAAGGGATCCTGTAACTTTGTCTTAGATCCTTTAGAAATAATCCTTGATTTAGCTCACGCTGCAATGATAATTATAAACCTTTAGGTCAGTCAGGAACTCCATGACTTTTACAAGCTGATCGCCTGTCTGAATATCAAGATATTAATGATTGGAATTACAAATTTTGAAAACCATAACACTACAGTCTATTGGGGAAAACGAGTATGGTAAAACCAGTCACTCAAAGATTTTTACTTTTTTGAGGCACTTTTTGATCATTTTGAAGCGCGATTTTTTTAGGGCTTCAATATTACACCATATCACAGACACTGGTAACATGTAGGACCCTGTATCTCATATTTAACATTATTAAACGATCCCTTTAATAAATTTGGAAAATTGTGTTCATCAAGGAGTATATCAGAGCTGTTGTGGAATAAGAGCATTAGAAAATAATGCAAAGTTGATGAAGAAGATACGATAGACTAAGAATGACTCAGATAAGATGAGATTGTCAATCCTGTGATTTTGCCATGTATAAACTTAAAGGTCTTTTGTTCTTTCTTTCAGAATCCTGTGACCTACACCAGCTTTGACTGTCTCTCCCTACCGATCCCTACCCTGTCTCTCCTCAGCACCCTCTCGCTGAAATGTATCCTAGACGGATTCACCCACATCGAGCTTGTCCATGGCGTGGAGTGTGTAGAATGCAGTAAGATGGAGGAGGGGGGAGGAGGGGTGAGGACGGGGCAAGGAGATGGGGACAGGCAGACGAGTGCAGGGACCAGTCCACAGACGAGCCCCCAAGCCAGTTCTAAGAGCGAAAAGTGCAAAAGAGTCTTCCAAAAACAGATGACTATTAGTAAGGTGAGGCAGAGAGGAGTATTCAACACTTTTACTTAGTTTGGAAGTGACTTAACTTGAAAGTTATTGTATTTAACGGTAATCAATTCCTGATTAAGGCACGTCTCCGATTCTGTTATAATTAATTTCCAATTTGGTTTTGATTCAGTTCCACTTCAGTCCCAATTCAGTTCTAAGTCAATTAAAATTTGATTTCAGTTCAGTTTCAATTCCTTTTCTTTTTGGGTGTCAACTCAGTTTCAATTTTAAATGATTCTTCTAAAGTCAGATGACTATTAGCAAGATGAGATGAGTACTCACTACTACCAGTATCTGAAGTATCTGGTCCCTTTCGGGCGGATGCTGGATACCAGAAAACTTGGGCAAGGGCCACAAGGGAAATAGAACGTCCAACCCCACATCGTGGGAAAAATGGACGCTGAATGGTCATGATGATTCTGAAGCGATGTTCAGTTTTAGTCAAAATTACCCCCCAAATTGTTATGTTCTTTACATTGTTATTAAAGCCTATCTGCACTAGTTTGGCCAGGAGGGATTAGGCCTCCCTGCATGTTCACTGACAGGTGGTTATCTCATCATATCAGCTCTCAATTAACATAAGAAAAAGGGATCATGGGGAACCGATGGGAACCGATGGGAACCGATACTGCTTAGGCATTGTTTGTTATATAGAGGGCGCAAGTAGCTACAAGTAGTGCAGTCCCGCTTTCAATCACTGCTTCATGTCTTTCTCCAGCTACCCCAGTGTCTTTGCATTCACATCCAGCGTGTCGGCTGGCAACCCGACGGTCTTCCTTTCAGGAGAGAGGAGCACATCATGTTCCCCGAGGTCCTCGACATGAGCAGATACCGGCTGGCATCAGTCAACGCAACCTGCAAAAGTGGGAGTATAGGGATCACCAAGTCACTGCGCTTGGTTCAACAGACGACACTCGCAAATGGTCATAAAACGGTGACAGGCAGAAAGTAAGAGCCTTGAATATTATTATGCATAAAGATAATTTTGGTGATCCAATGATAGGTCCAAGCTATGTTTCTCCAGAGTAAGGAGTCTATGAATTCAGGAATACCTGGAAAACAGTCGGGGAAAAGCTCAATTTTTTGTTAATCACTCAAATCTGTTAAAAATCAGAGAATTTCATTGCATTGGCTCTCCCCCCCCCCCCCCCCCCCCCCCCCCCAAAAAAGTAGTATGTTTTTGTTCATGTCTTTACAGCATATCAATAGGATTGTCAACCGTGGTGGCCTTATATATATATATATATATATATATATATATATATATATATATAGTGTGTGTAAAAAGCCTCCTTTAATGATCCTGGAATTTTGAAGCTCCGTTAGGGAAAAATAGACAATTCTGTTCTTGTTCAATGCCGGGACCCCTTAAACAGCTACGTGTATTCCTCTCTTTACTGCACCTTGCACTCGCCCTGCAATAATCCATGATTCACATTTCAGATCCAGTGCATCATCAAATCACTCCTTCATCGGAGACCGGTTTCTGTCTCCGTCTCGTCCTGCATCATTACGCTTGGTAGGAGGAGGATGGATACCAGCAGAGGAAGAGCAGGAAGAAGAAGAGAGGGAGGAGGAGGAGGAGGAAGAGGAGAGAAGAATGAGCGCAGAGAATACAACTCTTGAAGACGATAAAGAGGGCTACCTAGATGCAAACAGTCACAGGTATTGAATCAAAATTTGTTTACACAATTTCTTCATCATCTGCCTACTCCAAAATTTACATCCACATTCCATTTTCAAGCACAGAAAATTTGTTGTCTACTTATTTTTCAATGATGCGCAAATAATCTAGTAGGCAGCTTTTCAAAGTTTTAACCTGATCTTTTGACATATTACTGTAAAGTTGTAATTCCATAATAAAAAAAAATGAAAAATGCAGCAACAAAAATTATGATCTTACTACATGACCCTAAAAGGGTGCAATGATCAGATTGCATTAGAGGTAATATGCATGGAGTGGGTGTGAAATTTTGAAAATCTCATACAGTATATCACAAATTAATTTTTGTGACATTAATTGCAAAAATGAAATAAAGAGAATATTTTGAGTTCCTTATTTATCACCACTCATTAATTAGGAATGATTTGTACTCACTTTCTCTCTAAATGAAGTATGATTACCAGAACTTGAATCTTAAAGATTCATGTCTATCATTTTGCTGTTTTGTCTATGAATACAGTACTTGTTGTTAATGTTAGAAATAATATTATTGTGATTTAAATCATTTTTCTGCAGCTCCAAACCCATAGAATCCAAATACAAGCTGGCTTCAGCGGTGGTTCACGTCGGCAATGCTTTCTCTGGACATTTTATGACATATCGCAGGGGGCCCAGCAAACCGAACGAACCTCTGAATACACACTGGCTGTGTGTGTCAGATGAGACTGTGTACACTGCTCAGATATCTGATGTACTCTCGCAGAAGGCATACATGCTTTATTATCAGAGGGAGTGAGGTCAGACCCCTGTGGTCCTGTGGTCTGTTGTGCAAGGACATGAATTCAAGTCTCATGCTGAAGCCTTCAGGACATCACATCTTTTGACCAAGTTACCAGGATTATATGCCTTGGTAGAGGTCCATCTGCATCGCAATCAAATGAATATCAAATTCGAATTGTTGGGAGAGTACTGTATGGAGAATGTATGGCAAAGCTACATGAATCCTTCCTTGCAGGTCATGGATTCAAGCCCCATGCTAGAGCTTTGTAGAATGTCATGTCTTCGGACCTGTTTATCTGGGTTGGATGTCTTTGTGGATCAGCCCACTTTCTCAAGCTTGTGGAAACCGCGCTCTAAATTTATGAAGACTGTATGGTAAAAGCTGATCATCAGTATATTTCTACTGGACTAATTTGATTGGCCAGAGTGAGGAGACGGAAGCTATTGAAAAGTTGCAATATTATTACTGACGTTATGTTTTGAGTGTACTACACTTGTAAGCTGTAGTAAAAGTTATTGATTTGCAGAGGTAATTGTTTGAAATAATGTGTACATGAGCTGATGAGTTTTAAAATATTTTAAGCTGGAATATTCTTGATGCACTGTATGGAGACAATCTAGACCAATCAGCGGTACTTATTAAACCTGTAGGTCATGATCGTCATGGGGCAATTTGGATTTTTAAGGGGTTAAACTATAAATTCTATGCACATGTATAATATACAACTTCATCACAGGAGGTAATAGCAATGACCAAAATTTGCATATCAGATTGGGTCCTTACCTACTAGGTCCAAGAAGGTTAAATACTACAGTTCTGGCTAAGGTTTGAGTATTGGGTTGTAAAAACATGTTTCTTGATCATTTTGCCATCTGTTCATATCTCATCTACATTCTGCATGATTTTGAGGTGTATTAGCCAATAATGAATTTCTTATTCGTTCATTATCAGCTCCAACTACTCACCGATAGTTGCTGTTTTTTTGTACTCACTGATAAGCCTTTGAATGCCGGTGTTTCTGTGAGAAAGATTTGTGACTTGTGTGTTTCAAGAAAAAGCACAGTATTGAATGGGTTAACAATGGTTTGGATGGGAAATGTATTATAACTGCATGTAGAAGTGTTCTTTGAGAATGAGATGGATTTCTGTAACTTTCATTATCATAGGTATATCATGTATAAACTCAGATTATCTTTTTTGCATTCTCAGGAGTGTTTTATATGATTGGACATTAAACCATGACAGTATAACAGTAAGTTGCTACCAAGGCCTATTAAAAGCAAATGACGTGTCAAGTTCTGGCAATCCTTGCACTTGGAGCTCTGTGATATATTACATATATAAAAACTCACTTTATTTGTGTCTTTGAAACAAAATCTATTCCAATTTCAACATTTTGTTATTTCTAAACAAAATGAATTTTAATACAATCGGTCATTTAGGTTTATATAACTTGACATTTGTTAATACTTTTGTAAACAAAGTTGTTTCAAAAGTGATATTGCAATGTTTTCTAGTGTTTTTCCATCTCATAACTAAAGTAAATGCTCTGCCTTTGGAAAATGGCACAACAGTGACACAATACAATTCTCGCTATCGCCAATATATTAAAAAACATCCATATGCTACCGTCAGGCCCCATATCAAATGTACTCCGGGATAGTTTGGTGACACATTCATTTCCGATCAATTTACCATGTTTGCGCTGTTTATGCCGGCTTTGATTGTGTGTATGTGTACTTTCTTTTCCGACCGTAATCGCAGCGAGTGGATCATTACAAAAAATGTATTGTTACATATACTAACAATAATATATTTGGATCTGTGATGGTCAAGAGCAAGGAGAAGCATAGAAAATAATAACGTTCGTTGGCAAGTGCAAAAACTTAAATTTAAGAGAAGGGCTTTCATTGTTTAATTCAATATGGTTGTCGATATGATTTGGAGTATCTTTCTACCATCACAAAACTGCGAAACCTGGTAATAGCTTTCAGACAAGCAAGTACATGTTTGTACTATGCTTATGCATAATACGTGCTCGCCACTGTACACCGGAAGTATGCAAGTCCAGGGAGCGACTTGAAATTACTTTCAAGAGGTTTCATCCGGGCATTTGGGAGTATTGGCGATAGCAATTGGTCCGTTTAAATATGCATTGTACCACGAAGTGGGTTTATTAGCTGAAGGTCTTTTGTCAATATGTTGTGGTTAGTTTGATACAATCTGCAACTTGCGTTGCTTATGTTTAATAGATAAAGCACTCAAATTATCTACTCATATTTGATTTACAGATTATATAAAATAAATTTAAGTTTCTTTTCTACTTTCCCGTGTATGTTGATCTCTTCATTTCATTATTCATTGATGTATCTTCTTTTAAATATAAAGTAGTCGAACAAATCCGCTTTAGCGTCTTTAGCGAAAGGACCATGTATTCTGCCCTCAAAAATGTGTTAGTGTGTTAGAGAGAACCTGTCTGCAATGACAACATGAGTATAAAGACTGTTTTTTATGTCTCCCTTGAATGGTCTTTCTATACAGGTTTTGGCTTTAATTTTGAATAATACCTGAAACAATCTCATCCCATGATTCACTTCTTTCTAACAATCTTCCTCTCACGTTCACTCTTTCCATCCAATATAATAATGATGATGATGACGATGATGAGGATGATGATGATGAGGATGAGGATGACGACAAGGATTATGATGATTATGATGATACATTTAGATATACATGTACAGATACAGATTTCACTCTGAAAATTTAGTTCTCTTGGCTGTTTATTTACAATCATCATTCTTTGACATACCTTTCGTAAAATTAAATGTTCATCCTCCTTAAAAAGAATAAAACCAAAAACAAGCCATTAAACAGTCTCATGAGGTATATTTTAAAGAACAAACAATATGTAAAGTACAGAATTACAATACTTTGAAGTATCCTGTAAGAAACTAATTATAAAATGGTACAAACCAAAAAAAATTGAAAAAAAAGCTTGATAACTGAATTTCTCATTTCTGTGGGTAAATAAACATATACATTGATAAAAGAACTCAAATTTCAAGATGTCAAAATGTGACCTACATCATGTATGAATGCAAAGATTCTGACTGGTATGTAACAGTTATGATAGACATCTACTGCAATAAAAGAAATGCGGTGTAGATTGCACACACCATTTTAATCGTTCTTATTTCAGGTATTTAACAAATTATTCCACACAAGTTCTAAAAACAAAAACATGCTTGAACATGGCACATAGCTTTCACTGAAGTCTTCCCCGAAAGTTCTACGAAACTACATCGTCATGACGACAGACTAATTTCAGAAACCGGGGTTCTGACAATCTACAAAACTACACTGTCTTTTGACTACACTGTCTTTTGACGACAGATTAATTTCAGAAATCGGTGGTCAAATAAAAACCATTTATTTTTATTTTTTGTTTTATTCATTTACTCAAGAATAAGCCTAGGTGAAGTATTAAATAGGGTATTTATAATTGTTCTTCCTATATGTAATAAATTCTTTCTTGTAAACAATTATGCCATTTGCATTCCTGACATGTCCTTGCATGCCAATATCTTTTGCTGATAAGCTACCAAAGGAGGGTTAAAGGTGGTTAAAGGAGGGAGTATCGAGAAACTATGTAGGCCAATCCTGAATATAGAAAAAATTAATGTTGGGAGGCATGATTTAGAGACTTTGGTGGAACGTGCTTTATAAGCACCGTTTTTATTATTATGACGACTTTAATAATCAGCTGTCATAACCAGGAGGTCCCAAGTTTGCAAACAAAATTCGATATGCCAGTGCTTTCTGTTAAGGAGCATTAAACCCCAATAACCAAGTCCCTTGGATAGGAGGGAAAGCCAAAGGTCACCTGGTAGCTTTACCTTAGAGCATAAATGTATACTACTTTTTATACCGATCAGGTGAAATAAATCACGAAATAATCAAAATGCAATCATAGAATTACTGCTAATTTTGCAGATTTACAAAGAATGACAAAATTTACTTGTGTATTCCCAATCAGGAATTTTCTTTTTCCTCATCTTTTATACAAAATATTACAAAAAGAGGTTCAGTATTTTTATTACTCATTATATACAGAAAAACGTATGAAAGATATGAAATCTAGAATCTATACAAAATGCATCCCTAGGTCTATGTACATTGTACGTCTCGTTCATTTTACAATGCTTTATTCACAAAAGGATATATTTGAATATCAAAATCTTGATTCATTGTGATTTTAAATGAATCAAATTTAATTGCACTGACTCATAATGGAAGAAAGTATTGATAAACAAAAAATTGTTAAAAAATGAAGAAGAAGAGGTATTCCACAGAGTAACAGTATATAAATACGCTAGCTGACCATATGGCCAATCTTACAATCATTATGCCAGTGGTAAAATAACTAAAATAACCTAGAAAGAATGAAGCTGCAAACCTTCTCTGGATGTAGTGTATAGCTCCAAAAGATACAATCAAAAAAATATGTGAATGTCACAAACATTTAACATTCAATGGAAACAAAACATTTGGTAGTAGTAAATGATATTTGAAAGTCAATACCTGGGCCTTGTCTCTAAAGAGTGGCAAATTATCCAAATCAAATTGCAAGTCACAAACGTTTTATCTTTTATAAAGAGCTGTGATTAATGTCCATCTAAAATACAATAGACTCAAATCATTCAAAACTCTTGTACTCTAAGACAGTGCCCAGAAATGTATTTTTGGCAGGATAATGCTCAGATCAACTTAAAACATGTTCAGATGAAAAAAATGAATGAACCTAATAGATTGCTTGTAATCAAAATGTATGAATCAGTTGACCTAGAGAAAGATCATCAGGTCAGGTCAGGTCATTGTGATATTTAGAGTTCTTCTCTGATCTCAATTTGAAGGGAAGGAAGATTCTCAAGGAAGGCTGGTGTTGTGTCAGAATCCCTGAACCCGGGTCTAAACTGCGACGTTTCAGGTTGCCTGCGACTCAACCTTGACCTGAGGTCACTGCCGAGGTCAAGCTCATCGCTCTCGTAGTCCACTTCCTCGTGATATGACTCGCCTCCCTCGTCTCCGCTGCTCTGCCAAGCATCGGAGAGGCGATCGTTGACGTCTAAGATCACCTTCAAGTTCTCCATGGACGGGGCAGGGGTTATTGAATGGCCGACGAGGGCTCCGAGACGACTCTTGACCGACAGCCTCTCTTGACCTTGGCCTTGAGTTTGTCGTAGTCTCTCACGTGCATCGGTCATGACCTGTTCGGTGGCTTGCTGGACCTCTACGGTGTCTCTGTGGTACATAAAAAAAAAGAAGAAGAAGAAGAAAAAAAACAATCAAATTGAATCGATTTTAACTGGATGTATTGAAGCATCTAATGTAAAGAGAATGTAAAGGGGAGTGTCCTAAAGGGTAATTTTTCCGGGGGTAATTGGCCGGGGATGAATGTCCAGGGGGTAATTGTCCTAGAACCGTACTAAAGCAACCTGTCCATAAAGGCAACCTGCCTGTAACACTATTTGTTATCTCTCCTCTAAAGCAACCTTTATATACAGATAGACAGTGAAACCTGCTTTAGTAACCACCTGTATAGAAAGGCCACCTGTCTACAAAGACCACATTTTTTGTTTTCCCTTGAAAATGGTTTCTTGTCAGTGAAACATGTACTAAAGGAACCTATACATAAAGACCATCTGTCTATAAAAAATTTGTCATCTCTCCCTCAAGCGGCCTTTATATACAGGTTTCACTTTATAATGAACAAGTTGTTGTATGAATATTTATTGAAAGTATTTCAAAGGTATGAGAAGATGAAATTACTACATGCACAGCAACCCATTAGAGTCTGTAGTTTCAGCCTCTGTAACCATTACCAAGGGACCCATACACAGAGCTGTCAAGTCAAATTTTTGCTGACATCCAAATGAAACAAAAGACTCATTCGGCTATTTCAAAGTAAAATAGAGGATATAGAATACTGTTACGAGAGATCCAAACCCTCCCATAGCGTATTGAGATAACTGCCACATGCGCATCTACCCATATACAAGATGGGTCATAGGTTAAATCATGGGGATCCAAACAGTTCCCTTCCACGTACAATCTCTATGGAAGGGAACTATTTTGGAGCACGGTGTAATGCCCGACCAATCAGAAACAACTTCCGGTGACGTAACTCTCTCTCTCAAGTGGCTACGAACACTCTCTCTCAGTGCAGACTCGCCCCTCTAGGCAGGCAGGCAGGCAGGCAGGCCTCATCACACGCACACACTCTCTTCCTCTACATCCATCCAACCCAATATCCGTATCTTATTTCACTTTGTAACAGATCCTCCTTCATTACTGCTGTCATAATATCTGGGTTTCTAAAAGGGAAAGCACGCTACTTGGGAAATATCGGCTCAAACTTCACGTCCTTGTACATGTACACTATGTCCCATTTGAATCAATTGTTTTTTTCCTTTTTCGACTCTGTAACTTTTTTGAAGAGTCAGATGGTACTTCATTAATCAAAGAATAAATTGCAAATAAATGTAATCTTTTCCCACTGTTATTTGTTCTCAAGGCCGGGGGGGAGGGGGGGGGGGGGGAGGGGGTCTTTTAATATTATCTAACATGGTAATTTCTCATGATTTAGAGGTTTATTGCACCATTGAACCAAATAATTTCTTTGAACTCCTTCAAAATCTTAATTTTAAAATGGAGTCTGAGCCTATGCCAAGTCTTAATATTTTCTTACCAGTTTTTTAGTTTGTGTCATTTCTCTTGAAGTTCATTTCTTTCTACCTTACTTCTACAATATTTCAACAAACTTGAATTTCTTCGAATGAACAAAAGCAATTTGCCTTTCTTTGACTACCGTAGTCCTACCACTGCCACTCTTTGCAATCCTGCAATATCCTTTTAATCTGTTGATGTGTCTAATTATAATTCAGAAAAAGAAAGAGAATCTATCGCTTCACTTTTATTAAGAACTTAGTCATCGCACAGCATGGCTCCAATTCTTGATTGACAGTTTCACTCTAATTAAATTGAGGAAATGTTTTCGAACTGACCAGATATTTCCACTTTCCTATCAGGGCGATTGCACACATTTTGCGGTTTGGCTCAATAACTTTTGATCTAGAGCCCTAAAATGATAAGAGATGCATGAGCAGAAAAAGCAAAACATCAGCTTACACTATCAATTCCTGTTGAGTTACTACACGAACATAGTGTTTGAATATTAAAAAGGAATGTTTACAAATGATAATAAGTATTAAAAGCATCAAATTTGGAATACCGGTATGTTTAAAGTTAAGAAACTTATTGTTTTTCTCTACGAATTGAGTCAATTTTCTATGTTTTGAAAAAAAAAATTATGGTTGCACTAATAGCAATACACAAGCATTCAAAATTAAAGAAGAAAGCTAATAATTTACCCCCCCCCCCCTCCAAAAAAAAAAAGTTCTATGAAGTCAGGCATTTATTTGTATAGTCACACACAATGCAGGGAATTTATAAGTCCTAACACAGTGTGCTAAGTTGAAATGGGGATAAGACAGCCGAGGTGATGAGGGTGGGTGAAGAGAGTGACAAAGAAATAGAGACAGACAGAGAGACAGATAGAGAAAGAGAGACAAAGAGCGGGAGGGAGGGAGAGACAGACAGAGAGAGAGAAAGAGATATAAAGAGACAGAGAGCCAGGGTGGAAGAGAGAAAGAGAGAGAGAGAGAGAGAGAGAAAGAGAGAGAGAGAGAGTGAGAAAGAGAGAGAGAGAGAGAGAGAGAGAGAGAGAGAGAGAGATGTCTACTGAACAAGAAAAGCAAGTACAGTTGGAACAATTTCCAAATGCATTTACACTGACATTCTGCTATAAAGCAAAACATCACAAAACAGGTAAATGTCAAAAGTAATTTGCCCAATTGAACTTTTACTCGTCGTAAACTCAGCCAGCACATCCTCGGCAAAGCGCCGTTAAAGGCTCATGTTTCAACAGCGACACATTCAGGTCACATGACCTGGTATCATGGCAGACGGGATATTCCCTAATGGGTTTGCGCTCAAGTGGAGGAAATGAGCCCAATTTCCACCACAAATATTAGCTAGCTAGGTGTCCCTGGCGCCAAGCACGCGAGGTGTAACTCAGGGTGAATGCAGGCAGGGGTACTCAGCAATGAGCTGCCTGTTGCAACTCAAATGCGTGTTTTACGCTATACAAATATTATGGAGGAAAGGGACAGTTCAGTCTTTGATTCAACATCCACTGTATACCCAACACGAACACTTATGTATGATTACTCTCAAAAATATGTATTAGAAACAAGGATAGAAAAGGGAGAGAGTGATAGGGAGAGAGTTGAGTTAGAGGGAGAAATAAAAGTAAAATAGAGAGGAAGAAGAGATGGAGTCAAAGGAAAAGGGAGAGAAAGAGATGAAAGCAGTAGGGAGGAAGTGAAGGAGGGAGGGATGGGGTCAGCAGAGAAAGGGGGTGAGGGGAGGGAAAGGAGGGATTGGAAAGAGAATAAGGAGGGGGAGAGACATTGAAAAAGAGAAAGAAAGATAAAGTGAGAGAGCTTGAAAGGGGAAGGGGAAAGAGATGAGATGGGGATAAAGAGTGAGGGGAAAAGAGAGAGAGAGAGAGAGAGAGAGAGAGAGGGGGGGGAGATAGGTATAAAGATGGAGAGGGGGGGGGGGGTTGAGAGGGGAAGATAGAGAGGGTGAGGAAGAGCGAGTGAGAGAGAGAGAGAGGGGGGGGGGGGTAAAAGCTAGAGAGGTACAGTGTAGAGGAAGAGGGAGGGGAGGACTTGGAAAAAAATAAGGAGGAAGGGAGAAAGTTGGGGTGGGGTGGAAGGGGGAGACAGAGAAAGGAAAACCGAACCAAAATCTGAAGTCATACAGATGGTTTTCATCAAGCTTCCAACACTGTACTAACTATTTGAGGGATGGTTATCTCACTAACTATATCTTCCACATACCCACAGGAAGATGACCATTCAAAGCAACATTTCAACACACTTCTAACATTCTAAATATAAGACAGTGTGAAGAGGAGGCTCTCTCGGGAGAATGACATATTCGATCTCCTCTACTTCACCATAAATCTGTCCACCAACTCGTTTGTTCTTAATAAACTCCCCACCTATCTTGCATCAACATCTTTTTATCTGACATTATGTTTATAGAAAAAGTGCAGCTTGAGCAGAGTCAAACTTCATTGTACAAAGATAATGTACATGATACAGCTGACTAAATCTGAGGGAAAAACATGGCTACCATTTAAAAAGGTTGCAGAAATTGCAAGGCTGGCTAGAGAAAAATAAGCAGAATGACTGTAATAAGTCAATTCGCAAATGAAGCGTGACAGTTTCATATTGATTGTGTAGCGATAGCAGTGTAAGGTTCAAAACAGGTAGGACAGGAATCAACAAAGGAAGGAATATGAGCGATAGGTGAGAAGCTCTAAATATAGAAACATTATAACCACAAAGGTTCTTTGTTCCTTGCTGAATCTTAGGCTTTATTTTCCTAACTAACAATAACTGACAATGGTATTTTTAAAGTGCATCTTAGAGTTAAAACATGTGTGCATCAATATCGGAAGATATGAGAGGGAAGGGTGAGAAACTCTGAATATAGAAACACTATAGACATAAAGGTTCTCTATTCATTCCTTGCTGAAACTTAATCTACTCCGCAGATATTCTTCCTACCTCTTTGATGGCAGATAGATAGCTCACAGTGGTTTTCTTACAGGCATTTTAGAGTTTAGCATTCATGTGTGCATCAATATTGGAAGGAATAGGAGGGAGGGGTGAGGAAGCTATAAAAAAAAGAAATCTCACAAGATCCCTATATTGTACATCTTTGAAGACAGTTATTTAAGAATAAATCGGTCATGAATTTAAAAAAAAAAGGAATGGATCTAAGTAAATTTGCAATTCAGGAGATAACGTCACGGACAAGAAACATCAAACAGGGTTCTGGGGCCGAAAGAAAAGAGCAACAGCTATTGAAAGTCTTCTTTATTTTTAACATGATCTTACCTTATCTTCTTAATCTCGTCGTCTATCTCATCAGCGTACATTCTTCTTGACACCTTATGTCTGCCTTCATTCCCATCTCTCAATGCATGCCTGACTTCGGCCTCCAAGTTGGCCCCTTCCTCCTCCTCCTCCTCCTCCTCATCATCGTCCCCGGAGCTGCGGCCGGCCTCGTCCTCGCTGTGTGGTGGTTGGAGAGGTGAGCGGTGCTGCCTACCGGTCTCTCGCTCTCCTAACCGTCTCTCCAGTCTCCCTGAAAGAAGACATAAATTAGAAAGATAGGATGGTAAGCAAGATGTGTGTTTATCAAACCATGCAAGTAGTCCAAATGTCAGTAAATATATAAACATTGATTTATTTATGTGATCATCTTCACAGACATTTCTTCTCTGAAACACTGGGACAAGTTAAGATAAACTTCAGTTCCGGTGAGGAAAGTGCATAATAAAGAGAGGATAGTTTCAATCAATTCTGAATCACTTCTCTTACATGTACATGTGTATACTAATAGGATGTTTGAATCCCTAGACTAATGAAAAAATAAATAAATGAAAACGTGATAGATTCAATAAAAAGCAAAAGAAACATTTGAGAGCGGCATGTGGTATTTACAGTGAGCTGGTACAATACACTCATGTCCTCATCTTTCTCTGCTCATCACTCAGCTATCAATTACCGTACACAATTTCTACCAAATTCATTTAGCATGAATCATCTATTTGAAGTCTTAAACATGCTGGGTAAGTTTTGTTTCATCCTGTGAGAATTTCTGTTATTCCCCAACTCAATATCACTTTCACTTAATTCGTTATGGATACAATGTAGAGCATATATATGCATAATAATATCCACCTTGCATACACTAACAATTGCCACATCAGGTCAGCCTCAGGCAAGCTTTCAAGATGCCCCCACCTCCCACGACCTGCCAATGACATTATAAACCAGGTCATGGTCTAATCTAAGCCTTCCCACCCCATACCAGACCTTACACTGTCAACTAAATGACCTAAAGCCTTGCCTTTGGTATAGCAAAGCACACCCACTTCACAAACCAGACCTCTGTAAACAAGGATAACTCACCGGTCTAAAAATACCCCCATGATCTCATACACTACACACAACTCCCTTAGGTCCATTCAGCCTGGCGCCAAACCCAATCTAATAAGCCCCAGTCCCTAACCAATCCCTAACCTTCGCTTCAATGCTTCAGTGACTAATATTACACTCATAGCCAATCATAGTCCAGTTCCAGTGACCCATACACACTTGTTGGTGTGAAATGGGCGACCCGAATTTCGCTCTGGGCTTTATTTCTGTCAAAGATAAAGATTTAGGGTTGCGATTTGGTTTCAGAATAGGTTGAGGGTTGACTAAAAAATGCCCTAATCTCTATCCTTCGCTTCAATGACTAATATTACACTCATAACCGATCAAAGTCCGGTTCCAGTCACCCATGCACACTTCTTGGTGTGAATGGGTGACTATAGACACTTGCTCTAGGCTATATTTTATCACAGATGAAGGGATAAAGCTTCAACTGAGAATTGGGTGTTTGATTAAGTTAAGGGTTAATGTTAGACTAGAATCAAAGTGCTGCAACTGCATACATGTGTATCATCTTACATGAAAACAACATACTAAGATTCATCTTGTGTCATTCAAATGCAAATCCAAAACTGCTGAAATTAAATTCTTCTATTAAAATCAATTTTATCTCCAAATTTTGTTTCCTGCTGCCCAAAACTTAGGAACAAGCAATACATGTCACAGCAATAAGAAGCTATAAAATCTGCAGGAAAATAAAAACAGACTAATTTCTTTCCACGAAACAAAATTGACTCTCTTCGATAGAATCTTGGCACTAAGATTAACAACCTATTCTCTTAAGGAACCGATGAGAGATGTTTTAGCCTGAAGCTATAAATCTTTCCTCTGCTTGGGTTATTAACAGTTCACCGTCAACTGACCGTAGATGGATATGACCTGATTGATCTAATTCCTGTAGTCCCGATCTATTACTTTCCATGTGTGGTTTAATCTCTTTTAGCAAACGGCTTAGTATTCTAGATATCATTTTGACAACAAGACAAAAACATCTAACCTTCCCCCTAATTACCAGATAATATACTCTTCATTTCTTACCAGAAAACTACCAGATAATTACTCTTCATTTCTTACTTTAGTCTAGAGATGCAAACATGATAACATTACTTAACCTTTCCTTGTGCTCCTTTCCATAAGATTTATTAGGTACACAGAATATCACCTACCACAAAACGTGACACCCGGTATCCAACGTTACCCAATGTAAAACAGAGAATATTAAAGAGCAATGAATGGACTGAATAGGGGCAAGAATTGAAAAGTGATTTGGCACAGTTTCCTATCGCCGGAAATGATGATGTTGACCATTATCTTTGTTGCATTTATCATGAGTAAAAGAAATGAAAAGGGTATGCATCATTCCTGGGTATTTAAAAAAAAAAAATCATCTTTTTGAGCCAGAAGGGCGTAAAAGGGTACGAGTTAACACCTTTCTGGGTCCAAATGAACAAACATCATGTTAACAAACTTTTTTCAATGTTTTATTGTATTCATCCATGACTATTCATCCTGTTTTTACGGTACCATGGGACACGATCAACTAACCAGGGATACTGCAATTCCTACAACGGAAAATGATGCAGGTACTTACCAGGTACTCTGCGTTTCCTAGGCCATTCCTCCTCGAGCTCCCTCTCTCCATCGGAGTCGTCCTCGTACCTTCTCTTCCGGGCCTGTCCTGGGATGTACTTGCCCTGCCGGATCTTCTGTTTCCTACAGATACAAACATACATTTCATCTTGTACATTACCACATTCTGAAACAAGGTGCTTCCGCACTGTTTGTTTACAGCCAGAAGGGCATTCACTTTATGTATGTTAAAACGTGTATGAGTAAGCACCCTCCTGGCTTGTATCAGATGATAAAACAGCCTCTCAACTCGAAACCAACACTAAATCACTAGGATTCATTTTTGTTTTAAACATTTTTGTCTGAAAACTACAGATTCCAAGCTTTCAAATGATATGTAACGCTTTAGGGATACTCCAATAAAACCACCTTGGATGTTATGTTTTACTTAGCTTTTACAGTTCTACTATAAAGAAGAACCCTATTTTCAGCATTTTCTCTGTTATCTGATTTCTGACTTATCTGTGGTTTGACACATTGGGTTACATATTCAGTTTCAAAAGTGTAACAGTCTTTCAATACTACCTAAAAGGCAAATATATCTTTCCTCCGCCAAGTCATGTTTTGGCGATATCCATGATACACATTCAAGTAGCACATCAGTCACAACATTTTCTTATTCATCTCATTGGTTGTTGGACAAAAACACTTACAAATTTAATTATCGATCATAAGAAAAAAATTATAAAATTCCATTAATCAACAAAGGACATTTTCATAAAAAGCAACCTAACTTTTGACTAAAACTCTAATGTATTGTATTTGAACATATCTCAAACAGGCAGTTTTGCACAATACATCACAGTGTTGCTTTAAAGGCATCGTTTAACAATGTTTTCAGTTTTACAAATCTGAGATGCATGACCGTACGTGTTATCAGTGTCTGTGATATGGTGTAATATTGAGCACTAAAAAAAATTGAGTGATCGGTTTTACCATAATCATTTTCCTTCATAGACTGAAGTGTTATAAAAACTGTTGGAAAACGGTTTTTGAAATTTTGATTTCCAATCATAAATGTTTTAATAATCAGAAAGGTGATCGGCTTGTAAAAGTCATGGGATTCCTGACTGACCTAAAGGTTTATAATTATGATTGAAGAATCTGAAGCAAACATACCTAATCCCTTTAATTACATATGTGTTTAACTTACTTAAGATATGAATGTCGATTAAATCAAAGCAATTAAATCATACCGTCAAAATACCATCAAATGCCTGACAATTTGCAAGGTAAACTTTGTTCACCCACCCTACATTCTCAATAATCCCTTGAGTATATGTATCAGCCCCATCCATAATTCATGGCACAGAAACAGACTGCATCTTTGTCTGGAAATGGGACATCGGATCATCCCTTTTGATAAATTGAAGGAAACTCTCATTTGGAACGAATTTGGGAGAAATTTGGGCAAACTTTGATTTTTGTGTCGCGAGTTAATGAATCAACCGTGCCACGTGCCAAGTATAGGGCAGCAGCTGTTAACTCGGCTCAATGAATTACTCGGATGGTAGCTGACTTCTTTGTCTTCGCTTTAAGGGTCACTTCTCATAATATCCTATTAAATGTGCAAACATATGAGTACGATAATACGTGTATATGGCAGAAATGTAAACATTCTTTTAAATAAGCAGGAACACAAACAAAGATTGTAAATAAAGTTCTTTTAAATGTACATATGTGTGTGTACAGTATACATCCACAAGCATTTCACGTATGTAAATAATCAGAGATAGAAAGAGAGAGAGAGAGAGAAAGAGAGAGAGAGAGTTAGTGGGAGTGAAAGATGGTGTGCGAGAATAAGTTTCAGAGAGAGAGAGAGTAAGGGAAAGGGAGAGGGAGAGAGAGAGAGAGAGAGAGAGAGGGAGGTGGAGGAAGGGTGGTAGAGTTTGAGTGAGTGTTTGTCTACTTACATTGACTGTGTAATAATCCCCCTCATTCCACCAAAGTTAGGATTGCCATACTTGATGTAATATTGGCTGTGTTTGTAGGCTCCGCTCTCTTTTACATCATCTGAAAAACAAAGATAAAATATGATTAAAGCCAGCTGAATGGATCTGGGATAGGAAAAAAAGTGATCTGTTTTGATGGTATAAAATCATCAGATTTATTTGATGAGGAGATCCTCATTTCCCATTTTTTTTATTACAGAGATATATTGTTTTAATCTTAATAGATCACTATTCAAATCAAATCAAATAGTTTCTCATATATACATTACGTAATTTAACAATGTGTGACCAAAATAAGTTTCCATGTACAATATTCTTGTGAATTTGGATTAATAAAAGAATTGAATTGAATGGAATTGAATCCAATTTGCTAAGCTATCAAACTGAGCCAACTTTCCAGTATATAAAGTCCAAACTGAAATATGGAGATAATAGCTTACCCCTCGTAGCATACCGCATGAGTATCTCATCTCTCCCTCTCCTGAGAGCCTCTTCGTGCGTGATGTCTACTGGACCTAGATCTTCGTCTCCTAACTGAATGCCCTCCATTCCTTCGTCTCTTCTGCCTGCTGCTACATCAAAAATATAGTAATAATTATCCATTCAAAATTCAATATTCAAAATTCAAAATTCAAAATTCAAAATTCAAAATTCAAAATTCAAAATTCAAAATTCAAAATTCAAATTCAATATTCAAAATTTTAGTCACAAATTAGTCATCCATGCTGCCAAGTGGGCAAGCATTTTGAATATTATTAAAGGTCGGTAGGAATGAGAGGTCGCGTTTTATATTGTTTCTTTCATTTGGCCAGGTGCCTGTAATCTCTTAATACCAACAATTGACAACTAGTCCTTTGATTTTGTTGTTGACATGTGTACATTTCACATGATTTATATTTTATTATAGGATCCATTATAATTTATGTTGATACTATGTGATGTGTAGTTTGAAATGAAAAGGAACTTTAATGAAGACCCAAAAGAGGTTTCTAAGAAGGACAATAACCATTTTTCGCAATGGGACATGTCAGAATTTATTTCCAATGATATACTTTAGGTGTTGGTTGGAGACAAAATCTCAGTTAAGAAATATGCAATTTGATAAAAATCTTTTTGTACAAACATGAGCAGAGTAGACTGCAAGGTAACTCACATGGATGTAGATTGTGAAGTAATCTTAAAAGATTAGAAAATTAACAAGTTAAAAATTAAAGAATTACAAAAATGATAAAACGTTTAATGAATTGTTTATTCTTTTAAATAATGGGGAATATCATTCTCATGAAAATAAATGAAATTAGTAACTATAGAAAGCAGTTTAGTCTTACTCCGACATAAATTTGAAAGCAAATGTACAGCCTATCAGCTGGAAAATACTAAAAGAAGGATTTTAATTACCATAATTTGAATGTGAATTGGTGGTTGAGGTGGGGATGATTCTGGCGGCAGGTGGTCGGACCTTCTCACCGGTCTCTCGATCACTAACCAAGTCTACACCATCTTCATCTTCATCTAAAGAGAAAAAATGAAACCGAGCCTTACTAAACAATGCTAATACCGGTACATGTATCAACATTTCATTCTCAATGAGCATACATGAAAACTTTTAGTGATCTTTTAATCGCATATCAGTGATGTTTTAATAGTCGCATATACCGGTAGTGATGTTTTAGTTTAACCTTTTAATGATATTTTAGCCACCTTTTAATGATACCTTAGCCACCGTTTAGTGACATCTTTATAGTCACCGTTTAGTGACATTTTAGTCATCTTTTAGTGATGTTTTAGTCACCTTTTGGTGATATTCAGTCAACTTTTAGTGATATTTCTATAGTAACCTTTAAGTGAGCTTCTGTCACCTTTTTGATATTTTAGTCACCTTCTAGTGATATTTTAGTCACCTTCTAGTGATATTTTAGTCACCTTCTAGTGATATTTTAGTCACCTTTTAGTGATCTATTAGTCACCTTTTAGTGATCTATTAGTCACCTTTTAGTGATCTATTAGTCACCTTTTAGTGATATGTTTTGCATCTTCCAATCCAAACAATTTGAACTGAACAGCTTACATGAGCAGTAAAAAAAAAAAAAAATTGTTAATAAATTGGATATCCATCTTTGTCAGTAAATTCCCCAATTCATAAACAAACATTGAAATCCTTCTATTAGATGATATTGCATGTAGTTCAAAGGTTAAACAAATATTTAAGCATACCATCTACATGTACCTTATCAAGAAATCTTGATAAAGACTTCTTAACATGTATAATGTGTCCACGCAGACAAGATTTTAAATGTTTTAGAGCAAATAACTGTAGATACAGAATTTGAGTCTGTCAAAATGAATAACACAAACTTTGGATTGGTTTGTTTTCATTTAGCTATTGAATTAAGTAATTTGGCTAATAGTACAGGGTCAGGTGCTATTCATAAGCCTCAAATTTCAAATATGGACCCCTAAATTTGAAATGTAAATGGGGGGGGGGGGGGGCATGCATAAAGGTCCAATAAATTTCAATCTAGGGACCCTTAAAAATTATTACAAATTAGTATGGACCCCTCCTCAAGGTTTGAGGGTGATCTTACCTCCTCCCTCTTCCATCGGTTCTGATTCCAGTTCTATCCTAGGTTCAGGTTCTTGGACTGGTTCTGGCTCTAACAGATGTCTGGACTGGGCTAGGTTCTTCAGGCCCAGCTTGAAGTAGCCTTCTCTAGGCTTGCTCATGCCTAGAAGGGCCCTGGCGGCCGAGTGCGGGTCCATCCATACTATATTACCTGTACAAACAAGAAGGGATTATTAAACATACATAAAGGACTCTTTATAAAACATGTGAAACAAATTAATAACCCATCCATATAAAAACAACTATTAAAAAAAATATACAAAATTATTAACAATTTGCAAAAATAACTCTGAAAAAAAGAAGAAAAAAAATAACATATACTAAAAGAGCTCTAGAAAAAGTTTACAGTGGTGTAAAATTCAGAAAAACACCACATCAAAAATGTTGCCAGATCATCTCACATTGTACCCCTAAACAGCTCCGTTGAACAAACTTATTTTCAACTCAGAAACACACAAGATGATTTGTTTTATTATTTCCGTAAATAAAGACAAATAATCCTTAAAAATAACACTATGTATTCTATTCTTTAAAAAACAGCTTACATTTTGAGATAAATGAGCTTTCGATCGTTAATCACTGTGCGTTTCCAAGCTGCTGACGATCTCTTTGAGTGTCAATAAAGTATAACCATGTACCTAGTAAGCATCCAAACCCCAGAATGATATGACTCCTATCGAATCGGGCACATAGCCCTCATTGTCAAAAACTAGTCACCTGGAAAAAGTTTGTTGTCAGTATAACAAACAAAAATGGAATAAACAAAATACCTATCATGACAGCGCACAAAATGTATGTTTACTGATGCATGTCACTCCCACTTCTAATATAAAGCATGGACCTTGGACCTATAAAATGATAATCATCATGATATTGCATTTTCGATGAAAACCCTGATAACAATAACTAGATTTAGATGGAGATATAATACGTACTGTAAATATACTTTTTGTTATCTTATATGTTTGTAAAGCTATAATTACATCATTGAAATGATAAGGAAACATATGTCTGCGTGTCTTGTACAGAGAACCCTAATTTAGCAACAACCTTTATATAAAGACCACATTTCCCCCCTTGACAACCTTTTCGCAAAGAAACCTGTACATAAAGACCATCTGCCTATGAAGACCACTTTTCCTGTCACCTATACAGATTTTAATGTATACAGTAGTTTAAAAAAGGAGTGCTTAAAAGACGATGGACTACAATAGTTCCATTACATAAACAATATTATATCCCTCATGTATAGTTGTTTGCATTGCGATTGTACAGAGCACGAAAAAGGTATAGATAAGTGCTATCTACCTGAGATAGTACTTATTGTAAAGTAATTTTTACCCCACTTGCCCACCGTTGCCCATTGAATATGCATAGCAAAGTAGGTTATGCAAAATGTCAAAGTCAATGTCAATGTCAAATGAGCGCGCATCGACTGTATTACATGTATGCATGTTGCGCTTTGTAAAATCTAGTTGAAGCTAAACTGTCTGCAGAATCAGTTCTTATTATTATGTAAAATTCACTTTAAATAGACCTTATTGCCGATGTGGGATATAAAACAAATATTAACCTCCTTTACTCGCGCAATGGATACAAACTATCATCGCCTCGGTGATCTCGGGGCTACCATTACCCTCGTAGTCGATTAATATTTGCTTATCACGCCATCCCCCACATGTCCACACCTTCAATGACAAATTCGCACTTTGATTAAACATTATTTTTCGGCAATGACTCAAATTCACAATGAATTTCTTTGACAACAAGTTGTCCTTTTGAGTTCTGTCATTTATATTTTAGTAATTGTATGCAAAGTAGTGTTTGATCATTTAACAGGAATGCAAACATCACTGAATCAAGCCGCGGCTATGGCACTAAAAGTGTATGTCAATTTCTTGTACGAGCAACAACATAATTTTCAAACAGGAATGATTCCTATTATTTGGTTGGTTGGCTGATGGTTTGTCTTACCTGATTGTTAAGAAAGCAATTGTGTATATATGCTTGCATTAAGCAGCCAGATAATTGAAGTCTTTAAGTAATCCTCGAGTGACTTGGTAATGAGGTAGAGCATCAACTTGGTTTTGAACCTGGGACCTTGCGATTATGACACCACTGCTCTACAAATGGGCCATCACCCCTTCTTGAAGAGAGATGTTCGATCCTAGTATTCCTAGAGTTGGTTTTATGTGTTCATTTCTAATATTCCTAAAATTTGTTTGTTCATTTCTAAAATAACAAATCACATAACATGTAGCCCTGTTTATGTCTGTCGTCAGGTCTAACCGAAGGAGACTGTGATTAAACACACGGAAGGATGGCACGGGGATAACTCTATCTCACCACATCGCATTAATAGAAAGGTCTCTCAACGACATCAGACAATGGGGAAGCCACCGTCTCAATGCAATCATAAATTTGGCGGAATGGGTGTCAGATTGTAATTGGAAGGGATATGATTTTCTCCTTGATCGTTTATTGTGAAACATAATGACATATCATGACTTAATTTGTGTCAATTAGATTAACAAATCATTCTGCACCCTCTCAGGTCTCGTTATGTAGTAAACACCCGCAGGATCCATGTGCGGTCAAATATTATTACAGGAATTATCAGCTTCTTGCATATAGTATTACATAACCTACATGTAAGTCAGCCAAATACCTCAGAATACATAGCATACAGACTAAGAATTCAATAAACTTCTGTACTACAGTGTAGCAGGTTTAAGATTATAAGTACATGTACTGTATGTGATCACTGTGCTGTTATGGCGATTCGGCAATTACTGCTAGGCAAGACTTGATAAGTTGTAGAAGTATGGTAGGCATTAAGGTCTTGGGCTGTTGCAAATGGTCATGTAAATGAAATAAGCGATAGAAATTTTTTCTGGCAAGACCTAACAAACTCTCTGTAACCATTTAAGATCTGTCCCATGACCTTTCTATTAGAGTAAATGTGATTGCCAGTTGCAGATTATTGCCTGCCCCATTGTCTCAAGGGCTTTAGACAACACTCAAACAAATAATGGTTTACAATATATTCCCAACAATCAAATATAGAAAAATTAGTCTAGAGAGCCCATCACTGGAAGCCTTGAATACAATTTTCAACCAAAAGAACTTAAAAAAACCATCTGAAGTCCTATGTTACCGAAGAAGCCACAGAATACTAGACAGAAAAAGAGAGGTCCTTAAGCAAATGGATGTGAGACATGTTGTCTGTCTGTCTGACCTACAAAGATGAATATCATGTAATGTATATCGTCACCTGAGAGCCAGAAGGACGTTAACTTGTATCCTTAAAGACAGAGATAATGCCTCTTTAGCCCTCAGCAGATGATGTGATCCTATCAAGTCGTGTCTGAGGAATCACTGTATCTGTCATTGTAATAGCCTTATAGGGCTTATTCAGAGAGAATTTAGCTCGACTGGATGAATATTGCTGAAATCCATGACAGCAGTATCCCTATTTATTATGTCCCAGTCACCCTGATAGACCCAAAACCAGACTAACAACAGACCAAACAAACAAAGAGATTACATTAGCCAGAATGGTCATGTTGGTGGTTGGGTTGGAGTTGGTTTAGTGGTGTGAGACGGCTTTCAGTAGGAGGCGGATACAAGTTTTTAATTTGATACTTTGTTAATTATATTCTCTTTTGAAAACTTAAATTCACAATTTACATTTTATTCAAATTACAATGTATTTTTTAATGTAATGTAAAATTCAAGCAATAACAAGTTTGCAAGAATTATCTTCAGTAGATGACGAAGAAGAGGAAAAAAAAGGAATGAGAAGAAATGGGAAAGGACTAGATAAAGAGACAAGGGGTGAAATAGAAAAAGTCAGAAATAATAGAATGAAAATATAGGAAGAATTTGAAAGAGACTAAAGAATAAAGTATGTCATATCTCACATACCGAGAATCTTGCAAAATAATTGGTCAAAATGAGGTTACATGACAAATGACAGAATGTCTAACCTAATCTGGTGGTCATAGTATTAGTAAAAGCCATCACAAGATGTAATAGTCTTCGGCCATTGGCTTGTGAAGATAGTTGCCCCGATATCCCCTTGGTGAGGATAGTATTTCACATCATCTCTTATAAGTTGGTGACCATTCGCTCAATATAATGATCTTTTACGAACCAGATGAGCATTACAGTCAAACCTGCTGCAGCAACCACCTGTATAGAAAGACCACCTGTCTACAGAAACCACATTCTTTGTTTCCATTGAAAATGGCTTCTCCTTGAAACATGTACCGGTACTAAAGAAACCTGTACATTAAGACCACCTGCCTATAAACTTATAAAGACCACTTTTCTTGTCTCCCTTCGGTGGTCTTTATATAGACAGGTTTCACTGTACTTCCTCTACATGCCCTTCTGGCTCTCAGCAGACGATATAGCATGAATCAGTTCTACAAAATCATCTCTTTTTGTCTGGCATCTCCCCTAATCATCCTATCAATCTTTGGTGATTCATCTTCTACCCGATGCAACACAGATGTTCAGATTCAGTGGGTGACCATTCGCTCAATATAATGATCTGCTGCTAAGAACCAGAGGAGCAATATTGCCTCTAAATGCCCTTCTGGCTTTCAGCAGAGGATACAGCATGAATCAGTTCAACTAAAATCATCTCTTCATGTTTGGTATCTCTTGTAGTTGGTGATCATTCTCTCAATAAACATAATGATCTGCTATAAAGAACCAGATGAGCAATACTACCTCTTAAGCCTTTCTGGCTGTCAGCAGACGATATACAGCATGAATCAGTGCTACAAAATCTTCTCTTTTTGTCTGGTATCTCCCCTAATCATCGCATCAATCTTTGGTGATTCATCTTCTACCCGATGCAACACACATGGCCAGATCGTAATGATGTCATGTACAAATGAGCTGCTGATTACAGGCCGATTCCCAGAGGACCACAAGCCTTCAAGCAGTGTCATATCGAATCCATACACGGATGACCAAAGACTGTGATCTTTATCTGGAGGATGAACTATGATTGGTCTCATATACTGTAAGATATGATTTACTTTTTAAGGGCATGATATTAAAGGTGCTGTTTTGAATTTTTGACATGGTCAAGAAGATAACCTAATTGTTAAATCTATTTGTTCAAAATTTTAAGTC